GAATTCTGGGAGTTGAAGTCCACGCCTCTTCAAGTTGCTCAGATTGAGAAACACTGCTCTAGAATCTTGCCAAAATATTCTCAATTTCCTGCAAGAGCAGAGCAACTGCACAAAAGACACTGAAAAGTTTCTGATCAACTTCTTTCTCTGAATATAACCATTTCAGCACCTGGCTAGAACTTGTACTTTAATCCAAGATGGGCCACTTAGCAGCTCGTTGCAGGAAGAGCAACGTGCGCGCTTGCGAGAGTGTCATCCAGAAATCTGTGTTTGACGTTACTGTTTTTATTCCCTGACCTTGTTCCTATGTTCCTTCCACCCCCACACACAAACAAGGAGCTAAAGGTTCTGTGATTAATTCCTCTCCATCAGTGGTTATGTTTGATTTCTTCATAGTGAGCTGATGTTATAGGTGCAAGACCAGTTGGCCGGTGCAGTTGACAGTTATGACTCACCCATCTGGTTCTTTCAAATTCCACACTCAGAGTCTGACCCTGTTTTTGTCCCTCCTGTTTTTCTCCACCCTCTTTGCCTGCCTTATACGGGATAGAACGCAAGACTAGCATGGCCCGCAGCTCGCTTGGCCTGCCCATACCTCTTCCTCCAGGTGATGTCCAGCCGTCCTGGACACCCATTCCTACAATCCCAAGCAGACTGGTTGGTTATGGAAGTCTGCCATATTGGAACTGCAGTCAGGCTGGAGCTGGTTGCTCCACAAGGAACCACAAGACCATTTTGGGTTTTTGTTGCAACAGACCAGCATGCCCCAGGATGCACCTTCTGACTTCCATTCTGGTCCCCTTATTCAGCTCTCTGCGTAAGCTGCAAAGTGACTCACGTCCTCAGTTTCCCACAGCCCTAGGAAGAGCCAGATTCCTGAGTCACCCGCAGTTTCCAGTTGCAAGAAGCTGAATGAAACACACAACCATCTCCATAGGAGAGCGAAAACCCAACCAGCTGCAAGTTCAAGCAAGATTGCCTGCTGGGGAAACAGATTAAAAGTCCATCGATGAGCAAAGGAGGATTCCAAGAACAGCAACCCACGCGCCTTTCCCTCTTCCTTAAAAACAGGATTTGCATGAGACCCACCGCAAAGGGAATCCAAAATGCAGCCCGCCCCCCACCCCATGGATGCAGGGAAGTGATTTCAGCAAACAATGACCACGATTTCTTGGAACGCCCAAGAAATAAATAGATCTTGGTTTGGTTGTTTACTCATCATGGCATTCCTTGTGACCTTTGATTTCACAAAGGCACAAGCTTTTGAACCGGCTGGGGTGGAGTCGAATTCGTCAGACGTCTTTCGCTTGCATCTTTTACTCCTGTGGAAGTCAAGTTGTCAAGGCACAGAGTATGCGCAAGACAGTCTGAAGCCATGCTGTTCGATGGATGTTCTTCCTTACAATCATGCACTTTTCAAAACAAAACAAGACGTGATTCTGAGCTGGTTCTCGGGGGGGGAATAACACATGGCTGCAAGCTGCACATAAATGGATGCGCAAATGATGTGCTCCCTCCTCCCATTTCCTCCCATAACAACAGCCCTGTAAGGCAGGCTCGATTGAAAGAAAGTCACCCAGAAAGTGTCTGTGGCTGAGGGGGGACTAGAAGAACCCAGGTCTTCTTACTAGAATCCCTTCACTGTTGTGCCACGCTGGCTGCCTTATAAATGCCCGGGTGGCCATCGCTGCAGATTAATTATTCTGGGAACAAACTAAGCTGATTTATGCCCATCAGGCAATTTTTAAAAATCAGTTTGGCAGTGTCTGGCTACCATCCCCAACAGTCAGGGGACAGCCACCACCACTTCCACATTTGATCCTTTTGTAACTGGAAATCTCAGATTGTTTACATGCACATCACATGTTCTGCTCGTGAACTATTAAAAATGCAGATAGGGCATCCATAAGAGAGGTCAAAAAAGACAAGATGCTCGCCACAACCTCAAGTTTGAAGCACAGTAAAAAGATTGAAACCCAGTAAAAGGGGCAGAGACTGGAATGTGCAGTTATGGCCCTCAACCTGGCTGCTTTTTAACCTCCCTGGCAGCCATCTTGTGAAGAAGGTCTGTCGGTGCAGCGAGTGAGATAAAAATAAACCAGGATGAGTGTGATCATGCTAAGGGAAGAAAGGTAATGGATGCCCAAGAACACCTTTACTGGGGGTCCCCCAAAGCTCTCCAAGTTTTCCACAAAATTCTCTGCCGGGGAAGGCGGGAGGAAAATCAAGAAAGAGAGACACAAAAATCCAGAAATTAGGCCAGATCAGGGCCATAAATAAGACTCACACGAACTCACAAACATCCCACAAGTGGGGGGTGGTCCACCTCTCTCCTTCCCAAATCTAGCCCTGGTCTTCTTTGTAGTGGAAGGCTTCCTGGGGTCAACGGATCCCATCTACCCGCCCCAAGGCAACCCTAAAGCATTATGAACTTGAGGCGAGAGCGCCCGGCGCACCCCTGTGTGCATCCCTGAACACCTCCCGAGCCTGTTCAACTCATTACGCTTAAAAAAAATCAGGAGGAGTCCTCGAGGGCTTTTTCCAACTAACTTCTGCCTTTTAAGAACTTGGTCAGAAAAGGAGCTTTGTTCGCTGGGAAAGCTGCTAACAGACTCTGGCTTTTTTTGTCCCCATAGACTAACAACCGCTCTCTTCCTACACGGCTGAAGAGAAGTCTAACTTTTCACAAGGTAGGACTGGGAGAAAAGGGTTTATGTGATGGCAAGGGCTGCAACCAGCCAGAGTTGGGAGAACATTCACTTACACCAGTGTTTCGGAAACGTGGCCACTGTAAGATGGGTGGACTGCAACTCCCAGAATTCCCCA